TGGAAGTGCATATGCTATACTTCTTAATTCTGATTCTGTTCATCTTGTGTTTTGAATGGAAAATTAAGAAAATAGGTCTTACAAAGGGTTTTTAGATACCTTTGTGATCGAATGGTAGTCTGAAAGATGCTTACATTCCAAAGTACTAAAATTTTCAACTGCCCTGGAAAATCTGAGGTGCACTGTAGCCACAATTTGTCAAATTATCATTTCCAAATTGCTGTTTTATTTTTTCCCAAACTGGTTTTGATAGGAAGGGCAACTTTTAAAACAAGCAATACATTATTCAATATAGTACATTAAAAGGGCAGAGAAGTATAAGAATAATGAATACCAAAGTAATGGTGATTAGCAAAGGCAAGAAGTAAATGGGCATTCTGAGTAGTGATTTAGGAAGTCTGTCCATGAGAGGAAGCTTTGGAACAACTCTCCCTGAAATGCAGGCCTATCTCACGATTTGTTCCTTATTCAAGAAGTCAGGCCACTTCAGATTTTACTTTAGAGATATTCCATTGGTGCCCTTGAATGTAACACTTTTAAAGAAGTTCATCTTCATCTAAAGTAGGGTTAAGACTATTCACCTCTGGAGAAAACTGTGAGAACAGTTTTGGGATAACCAGCAGACGTGATTGAGCAAGCCCGTCTATCATTATTTGTGGAGGAAGGCCCAGAGAGTATGCCCTTATTGCTGTCTAATTTAGGGTAACTACCTGATCCTCTGCTCTAATAACACCCTCCAAAAGAAGTGTGACAGCCAGCATAAAATAGTAATGTGATATTTGCATTAAATGTTAAATGTAATACAGTGAGTTAACATAAGTACATGTAATATAGTAAGACACAAGTGACTTGTGTCTCTATCCATGAGGGAGAACTGAAAAATCAATAAGGCAAGATATATCAATAAGGCATTTACACTGATGAAAAACAGACCATAGTTCTTTTTTATTTGTAGTTATTGTTTTTGACCAAAGGTATTTTAGGGACTTTAAAGAAAGCGCCTGAAAAACTATTACTTAGCTTGGTATTTAGTTTGAAATATATGCTGACTTTTAACTTCTAGAGCTGGACAGTCTAATCCTTGATTATTCCAGAATGAGTTTAGGAATTGGTAATCATTTCCTTTTTACTGGGTATTTACATATATCACTAGCCAGCTAGGATTAGAAGGATGAGCAGCCTCTCTGTGCTCAAACACAATGATGAGAACACTTAGGGCCAACCTGCAATGTTCATCTTTAACAATTAATCCTTAATGCATTTATGTGCACATGACATCAGAGAAGGGCCTTCATAATACACAGAGAAGACAAACTCCCTTCCATAATGTACATTCTTAAAGATTCCAAACAGACTAATGAAACTGGTTAACGCTTTATATTTTTATCCATCTTTCCCCGAGAGTAAGCAATAGCAGTTTCATGGATATTTGCTCAGTGTTGAGGGGAAGGGTCAATGTGTATAAATAAGAAGGATATCTGGCAAGGTTGGGAACATGACCTCTTGCCCTCCAAAGCCTGGGAAGCCCAAGTGAATGCCCCCAATTTTCGCAGTGTATGGACACAGTGAGAACTCTCCCCTCTGCATACAGAGCAGGGTTAGAGGTTAATGAATGAGTGCTCTCCCCACACACAGGATTCTGTTCCATGGTGGTTTTATAAATCAGGGCTTAGATAGGGTCAGAATAGGACCTGCATATTGCTTCCAAACTCTCTAAATCTTTTTGAAGTGATGGTGTTCAGAGATGACATCCTTCTACTAGGGAAGGGAGCAAGGAAGGCTCTCGTGGCTGGAGAAGTGGATGACTACTACTGGCTCAATATGTATAAACACAGGACCAAATGGAAAACAAAGGGGCGGGGGAGGTCCTTTCTGCCCCCTATTCTTCTCTAGTAATCCCTTAAAAAATAATTGCAGACCCAAACCTCTGGCCTCCAGCACATTTTCCACTTGATTAGAGGCCTTTGTGAGGTAGGGAAGGGGACCTGCAGACTTGTACATTGTGCTGGGGCCTGAAACGTCCAGCTGGGATTTTTTTCCATCAAAAGGGGATTTTAGTAAAACCATTATCAGGGGCTTAAAGGAGAAAAGCTGTTGAGCAGCAAGTGAGGGGGTAGATTAGCATTAGTGGGCTTGGTTTTGGCACTGGTAGATGGGTGGGAAGGTGTTCCCAGCCGCTTGCACACAAGCTCCTTAGTTTCTCTGCAGGTTCCTGGCAGGTGCAGAGGTAGGAATGAACACAGGAGCAGGAACTAACGGACCCCAAGGCTTGGAAATGGCATGTGGAGGCTTTCATTCTGGGGCATCAATTGGAAGGCAACCCAAGTCAGTGAGGATTGCAAGGTATTGCTTGGTAACTGCTTGGTAGCTTGTAAGAGGACATAAGACTTGCTTCATTACAAGTTAGGTACATCCATGTCACCTGGAATCACCCACTGATAACATTCTCTGTTCCCTCTCAGCAGTCACCATAGATGACAACAAGAAATCAAGAAATTACATTAAAGGGCAAATGAGCGCCTGTATGGAAACCTTTATTTTTTGGAGGCTAGGTAGGGGGAGGGGCTAGGAGTGCGGAGGAAGGTTAAGAAAGCAGCAGCAATGGCTGCCCAGTCTGGAAATAAGTAGTTAGGCTGTGTGGCTTTGCAAACTGAGCTATGGGAGCCGTCTAGGGTGAGGGTTTGGGGAATGTTACCTGAAATAGAAACTTCTGACTTCTTGGGATTAACAGAGCTGTAAGCTATACCTTCTTCACCAAAATGGAACATAGGAGTCTGAGTCATGTGGGGTTGATGGAGAATATTCAAGCCACCAGAGCCAGCTGCTGCCTGAAGGGCCCTGTGAGGAATCCTGCACAGTCAGCCTGCACTGGAAACACGTTTTCTATTTCTCTCTGCATATGCTATGTCGTTGTAGCTTGTTTTCCCGTAAAACTGGGATAATGGATAAAACATAACTTTTCTTCTGACTGCCGTGAGCGTGCGAGTGGTTGGCGGCCATGGAGGGTCAGGCCGAAGTGACAGCTCCATTTCTTTGAGTAGAATATTTTCAGGCTTGTCGTGGCTGTCGCCTTACAGAGATCTCGGTCACCGGTTCATACTCAGGCCAGCCTAGTGACCCAATTAATTGGAATTTTTGTTTCAAGTCAAAATTCAAACAACCAAGGAAAAATGAACCTGTCTCTTGAAAACATAGGTCAGCCCAGGAAAGCTGTTTCTTAGAGGCTGCAAATCAGAGAACAACCCTTGTAACTCCTTTTAAGGACCACCTTTAGAAATTGCTCATTTAATTTTGTCATTTATCTTTATTCTGGCTCCTCAGCCTGACCTGTGTCTTCTCCCTCTTCAGCTTTGTATGGAATGATTACATGTTCTCTTTTCTTTCCTCTACAACCTCTTTTTTTTTTTTTGATTCAGTTGTTTTTCCTGAATTCATCTTCGTTCAGTATGGTCACCAACAATGGCATATTTCAGCTCTGGTTTCCATAAAGTTGCCCAGGGAGATTTTTCTGCTCGTGTAAAGCTTTCATGAATGGTTCCACGAATAGTAATTTGCTTCATGGCTAGGCCCTGAGTTCCAGAAGCTTTCTCCTTCTTTTCTTTCATTCTTTAACCAGAAATGATCCCTACCGAGTTAATGAACTGTGACGGGTCCAGCGAGTGCAGCTTGCTCGAAGTATCCTCAGGGGGTATCCATCTTCCACCTTCTAATTCCACATTTGCACCAACTGCCCTCAGATCCACGCTTTGATTTCCTGAGACCAGATAATCCAGTGCCAAGAGGGCAAAATTCTCCCTCCTCCCAGCCTGTTCTTTATTGTGACATATTATAGAATCTGCCAAGTTCACTCAGAAGGTTTTTTTCCTTCCTTTTAATTTTTGCTACCTTATCTTAATATTTACTTTACATAGGAGGAATTTAGGTCATACAAACAACCTCACTTCTTTATCAGGTCTCTTATTTTCAGTTTCATAGACTCCTTTAGATTTTATGAAGATGTCTATCTGGGCAGTAAAGACACTCCTTTTAGTAATTAAAAAGAAACAAAAATAAATACTCATAAAAATTAAAAAGAATGTTTTCCTCAGAGGACCTCTAGCATTTTTCATGACAGAAAATACACTTAATTTTTTTATAACAAAAAATGCTAGCCCTTTTGCTTTTGATGTTAAAATTGATAACTCCATGGATGACTAAAAATTTTCCCCATTTGTTCTCCCAAACTTTCCAAATGTGGCTAACAGGATTTGTAAGTATGAGATGGCCTTTAAGAAGAACTAGAAGCTGATGTTTGATTCTTGAAGACTCCAAAAACAGAGAGCTGCTAGCTAAATCAGGGAACCTTTGTGAGCGGGCTGCATTGTTACTTTGCTCCCCCCAAAAAATGCACAGCTTACCTGGGCTCGTGGGTGTAACTTCACTGATATTTTAAAATTTAATTTCATCTTTTCAGCAATGAGAAGAATCGAAATTCTTCTCTTGTCAACTCTTATACCCTGGGGAAATTAAGAGGGAGGACTGTTGGGGGGTGGGGTGGGTAGGTGACCGGAAGGGATTTGTTAGATGGGAGGAGGTAGGGTTCGCCATTGGAAATAGCCTCCAACTCACAGACAATGCTGCCGCCTGCTGACAAAACACAGGACTTGCAGATTTTGTGGATAAATTTCATCTTTCCTCTTCCCATCTTCTACATTGAAGAACACATATGTAGAGCTTTTCTTTAAGCTCTAATTTTGCTGCCTTTTATTGGATCTTAACGTAACTTTCATAAACTTACAGTAACGAAAAACACTGGGTCGGACTCCTAGCTACCGCTCATACTGGGTCAGACATAACCCAACAGGGAGCATCTGCATTACAGCAGGGAGGATGAATCATGCATGGGTGGGTGGGAGTTTTATTTTGGGGGGTGGGCACATAGAAGGTCAAGGAACAGTCCAGGAGGAGACAAAAACTGTCTCCTACCTTTCAATAATGTGTAGCCTTTGACATCTACCTTCTAACTCCTCCCCCCACATTTTTAGTTCTAAAGGAAGCAGTGATGAAGCTGCTAAATCCTGGGTATTTGCTCTAGTGGATTTCTGCAGCTCCTCTTGTGATTCCATTGAAAATTAAGGCTCTTCTGTGTGGGAAAAAGATAGGCCAGCTGCCTGGCTCTGGGTCACACTGCTGATTGTTGCCATTCGACTCTCAGCACAATGGCAGGGCATCTGTCTCAAGTGCACAGACGTCAGCGAGGGCTGGAAGAGCCTCTCATCTACTCTGGGCCCTGAAAATGTGAAGAGCGCCTCCACTCCCTACAACTACAAGCCGTGAGCCTGGTGAAGTTCAGGAGGCCACAGAACCGAGCCACACCCTTCTCCCAGACTCCTGACTTGGTCCAAATTTTGTACATTTGGAATGAACTAGAAGTGCTAGAAAATACCACTTTAATTTAGCTGGACTTTCACACCGTTTGCTTAAGGCACACCTACTGGCCATCTTTTTTTGTGCGTGTATGGTAGTTCACAGCATTGAGTTATGAGCTCTGAAATCAAGGTTTAAAACATGGGCAGTAAGGGTGGAAGGCACTAACTAGTTGTCTTCTAAGAACATTACAGATTTGATGGGTTTAGCTGTTGCAGTTCCTCCCTTATTTTACCCAATCTGTACAGTTTTAGCCTCGGCAATTTTTCTAAAGATTCTAAGGAATATCAGGACTCTTTTTTTTGGCTGCTCCTTATCTGGAGACCACTTCTCAAAAAGCTTTGCCCTGGGCTGGAAAATAGAAGCAGGTAGCTATTCCTACAACAAACGTGCACATAAACAATGCTAACTTGGGGAAGATTTCCTAAGGATAAATATTATGGATGTTTATAGTATATATTTTCTCTCTTTTTAGATGAGGAAAATAATGCTTTCCAAGCCATATTGAGTAAGCCCATACTATTTGAGAAAAATTAATTTGGTCTCAAAGAACTATTTTCCCACACTCCGATTCCAGTATCTTGGTTCCATGATAGAGTAGTAACTGACAGACAGCTGTGTGCTAGGCCTGATCCTCCTGGAGTGTGGATTACGTAAATCGAGAACTAATAAACATAAGAGGGTGCGTGGTAGTAACAAATTAGACCCTTTCACTCTTCCTGGACAAGAGGGATTTGTAACTAAAACATTTGTGAAGTCAAGCCTTTTTACCCCTGAATGAAAAGAAAATAGCTAGTGTTCTTACAACAGATTCTACTTTATAAAAGGATTCCAAGGATTCTTGCAGAGTTGTGTGACAGATATTTGTAGCGTTAAACGTGTGTAGTTCTTAGCTTTGAGGCTATCACAAGCATAGACTTCCAGCATTTGTACTTCTGATCACTATTTGCGACAAAGCAGTGTTTTTGAAACTGGCTCAAGTCCTCTGAGGACAAGAGGTGACAGATTTGACACTACTAGCTACTTCAGTCCCTGACAGCCCATTTGTCAACTTGCACTGGTTTTCATTTTCTTAAGTAACAGTGTATATGATGCTTGGAGACCATATCTAAGAAAATTTGCATAATTTAATGACTATTGAATAGTAATAATAACTTTCAGCAACTTTTTAACTCCCGCCTTTCTGAAGAGAGGGGTCAGGGTGGGGCTTTGCAGTGTCTCGGGGAAAGATCAGAGTGCTGCCTGCATGCTGATCATGCTCTGATGTGGTCGTGAAGGTCTAGAGCAGCCTCAGCTCTGAGACTGACTCCTTGTTTCACTCAGGCAAAATCTTTTCAAACTTGTCAAGCCTCTTTTCCCCTTTAAAAATTTAAATGTACAATGTCTTCAAGAATTCGGAATCTTCAATTTTTGAGGCAGAGAAACTGAACACTATTCTATGACTAAATTATTCCAGCAGACCACATTCATATTCCTGACATTGTCTTACCTGGGTTTCTTTGCTGCTGGCTCCAGAAGACCTAATTTTTTCTTCCCTTTGTAATTGGGACTCACTACCTTCTGCTATCACAAATAAAAGCCAACTTGCAAGGATATGTGCCATTTCTCCCTAACAACTAAAGTAGAAAAGTAATAAGAAAATGATAACTTATGTCTTCTTTTCTAAGAAAATGTGTATGCATTTCCAGGTTAACAAACGGCAGGCTGAGGAATTCCACTTCCATTTTGTTTTATTTGAGGGTGGTTAAGGCACCCTACTCTAGTGCTGTACAGTTAAGATCTCAAGCTTACTCTTTCTTGCACCTTAACTGGAAGACTTGGCATTACAAAGTACCAAATGTTCTGGGCTGGTACAGGCAACTCCACAGGCAAAATCAGAGCAATCCCTGGAAAAGAGGAAAACACTGAAACTGATCATTTGTGGACACTTAAATTTACCAATTGTCTAGAAATACCCGTTTTGCATTCAAGTGCTGCCCTTATTCCAGTTGTGCACATACCTTTGATAAATTGTAAGTAAATTAATAATACTTGATATTGATCCAAACGAATATGAATTTATCTCATTAGTATTACAGCAGTTTTTAAAAAATGAAATAAATATGTGGTCCAATCATAAGCTTAGGCATTAATCCTGTGTTTACCCATGAATCACATTATTTCATCAAAAAGCCTCACCCCTCTGACTCCTCAGGGGTTCACAGTGGCACAAAATTTAGGTCTTGTTCTCTACTAAAGGGATAAAATTAACTTTTTAAAGGGGTGATGTTTGATGCAGGGAAGAGAAAGACAACAGAGAGAAGGGACCACTAGATGACTTATATAGCCCCTCCCCTTCTACAGTCAAACACAGCTAAGATCAGAGGCCAGGGGCTTTCCCTTTCATGGGCTGGGAAGAGACAGTTGTCAGAAGCTGCATGAGGTCTTGGTTTTGTTTTACAAGTCTGATCTTTTAATCAAAAAGCTCTTTTTCTTTGGGAACACAGTGGTCCCCAGGGGCCACTACCCTTTCCCCCTCTTTGAAAACTTGAGTTCAAATTCTCAGTCAAAAGTGAAAGGTTTTACTTATATTGCAAGACCAGCATCTACCTGGTAGTCGCTGCAGGAAAACACCAGGATTTGGGTGAGAGGCCATGCTTCAAGTCACCATCCTCAGATCATATGTCCTTTAAGAGAAAGTTCTTACCTTTAGAAAGAAACTCCAATAAAAGGAAAATTTACTTTTTCAAAGGTTTGTTGTTGTTGATTTAAGTTGTGAAAAAATATGACCAGTTTGAGTTTTCTTCACTATTTTAAGGATGTACTGGTACTGTCTTTTAGTTTTGGTAAATGTAATAGGCAAGCATCCTTGTCACTGTTGCCAAATGTGGAATAAATCAAATGGCTCCCCCTTCCCTCCAAAGCTAGAACTGAGGAGTTTAGCAGGAACCAGTCCATGGCAGGGAGAATTAGGCAACAACGAAGCACTCCTTCCTATCATGGCCTTTAGGGGGCTGCAGAATCAGACTGAACCCCACAGTTGCATTTACTATATAGACTATCTTTTCAGTACAGACATTAAAGTGCTACCGACCAATGAATGAGACTTAGGAAAAAAATGTATGTGAAGCCCTTTCTTTACTACTACCCAAACAGCTTCTAGATGAGGTTTATTACTTCTGGATGATAAGATTTATACAAAGTTTTATTTTGGTTTTTCAGTTTCGAAGTTTCAACAAATACCTGAATCAGATTTTTTTTGTTCTTCTCAAAATTGCCTTGAAGTGCCTTTTTATCTTTTGTACAACCCAGAAATTATGTCAACTCATTTTCTTTAGTGCTTTTATTCTTTAAAAGAATTTCTTTCCATTCCTGTAAGCAAGAACCTACCAAGAACCCACCCTTACTCCCTTTGAAGTACCGTATTTTTACGCAAATAATGGGCGCCTTCTATATTTGCCAACCATGACCTCCCCCCACAAGCTATTTGCTTAAACGCGCTATGCTAATTTTTTTACAGCAACATGTAAAAAAAAAAAGATGGAATAGTGGCTTATGAAAAACCTCATGGGGGGAGGACGAGGTTGGCAAACAAATGTAGAAGGCGTGCGTTATTTGCGTGAAAATACAGTAGTGCCCTGTGGCAGACGTGTGGGTATTGGTTTCACTTCTGTGAGGATCATCTGACTGGCAACCAGGGTGTGATCAGGACTAACTAAACCTTCTCACAGAGCAGAAGGGTGCTTGGACTTCAGAACCAGCCCCAGGTTTGAATCCCAGCTCCCTCACTCCTGCTTGGGTAACTTTAGGCAAGTATTGTGCCTTATCTGTGAAAAAAAAGGACACCTGTTTCAGCAAGTGGCTTTGAGGATGAAATAAATTTACAAAGTATCAAGCAAACCATAGATTCTCAATACATACTCATTTTCTTCCATCCAAAAAGCCTGAAACATAAGCAGTTGACCTTGACTAAAGAAAGTGGTTTATTCTTTTCTAGAGACGCTCCAGACATTATTCTTAAGCATGTCCAGTTCAGGGTAAGGATCCTAGGCCCATGATCTTAACTTTCAAACATTAATTTACCAACCTTTAGTCAAGCTTATACTTAACTGTTAAAGCAAAAAGCGAAACAAAAATGCAGGAAAAACTCTTTGGGGTTATAGCTGGTAGGATTATTTTGTGTATTAAAATGAAGAATTTGAGCACAGAGCCTGACTTAGGAGGAGCTCAAATTTTTATTGACTGACTCTGTAGAGCCATGCCATCTCTTGGAAGAAAAACAGGCTAAGAACCTATAGCCTATGTAACCTTCACGTGTGTAGTGTCAAATGCTAAACTGAAAAGCTGACCCTAATCCAGAGTCCCTACTTCTTACTAGAGCTCACACATCATTTTCTTCTTTTTTTTATTTTTTTGTTCTGGGCAATAAGCATTGTAACCTAAGTGGGAAGAGAGAGATCCACACCTTCCCCAAAGAAAAGGAAGATGGATCTAGTGTCAGGCTCAATTAGACCCAATTGTGATGGCTCCCCAAAAAGGAACAATCCAGCTTTTGTGACAGGTTCAAGCAGAAAGCTTAGAATTTTACAAAACAATCTTACCCCTGGGCTCTAGCCCTCTTCCTGGAAAGAGGGGCCGATCCAGGAAAGTTTCATACTACTCTTTATCGGCTCTAGCTGGAATCAGTACTTTTATGTAAAAAAAAAAAATCTCAGAAACGACTAAGAAAGACCTATGTGAAACCAAGAATATGAATTACTCCACTGTTAGAGCACTTATACTCTTAGGTTTCCACAGCACAACCACGGGGTGTCAGATTATTTAGTTACTGTCTACCAAGGGGGCCTCTGCCAGAATTGCCAGTATTCATTTCTCTGCCCGAATTCAGTCTAAGAACCCTCAACAGAGGAGAGCAAGTGGCCAGCCTCAGCATTGGAAGTGCTTAAAATGCAAATGTGCAAGAACTCCTGGCCAACCTCCCCATCCCCCAGGAAAGTGCTTAAATACTGCCAGGCCTGGAGGGGAATGTTAAAGAGGGGTTGAACTGCCCTCCTCCCTTCCACTGGGACCCTCACTCAAACTGTGAGATTCAGTATGCATGACTGAGTGAACGAGCAGCTAGGACAGTGCTCTTTTTAACTTTTCTGCACAATGGCTTCAGTTCCCTCCACCCTTCCACATCCTCCCTGTACCCACTCTAGGGGCAGAGAAACCCATCTTTCTCCCCCACTTCCACATCTCATGACCCACTTTTTCAGCATTTCCTCTATATCTCATTTCCACCCAAAGAAAAACTGGCCACTCTGGGGAAATTTTGACTTAAAATCTGGTTTAAAAAAAAAGTTTCACTTTGTTTAATTTCTTTAAATTTTCATGTTGTTGACAGTTTAAAACCAAAAGTTATATAAACCTCAAGTCGAATCACATATCTGGGGTGGGGGGGAATTTGGATGTCAGTACTAAACCTTATACAGAATAAACTTTTAACTGTGAGCTTACAACACATAGGATGCACCAAACTACACCTTATTTCCTTTCAGTTCAGAACACACAAACAGCACCCCTTACTTTGGCATGTACCCAAACACACAATGCCTTAAAAATAATTCACAGATACAAGGTTGTTTTTTTTTTTTCAAAAACATACTTCATATTTCCTCTTTTATTATATAAATATCAGTTTAACCTTTTACTGTAAGAATATAAACGTTTTAAGAGGATCTTTGTTATTATTTATACAAATTCACAAACAGTACAATTACTTGATAAAGGTCTCTGGGTTTCTTAAACTCCATGGTCTCGCATGTTGCTGTGGAGGATTCTAAAAAAATAAACAACAACAACAACAAAAAATCCAACAAAAATATACATCCTACCCAAAAGTGAATTTTTTTTAAAGCCACAAAGTCCCAACCCCCACCAAAATAAAGTCATCTATTCCTCCATTTAGAAACAGAACGTTTTAAAACCCACAAACTCCATTTTATTAACAGAACAGAGATAAGACATGAATTTCAGTCTCCTCCCCTTCATATTACAGCCCCCGGGGGCTCTGCAGGCCAGCCCTGCTCCTCAACTTCCAACAGGAAGCCTCACTGTGTGACCTTACTGTGGGGAAACTTGGAAGAGGGTGAGGGAAGGGCAGAATTTGCATATATAATAATCATTTTCAAGACACAATCTGCATCTCAAACCAACAAACAAAAAAAAAACAGTTCAACTCTCATTTCTCCCACACATTTGTGCTATAAATTAAGTTGAGATTTAGAAACACCATTGGGTCCTCAAATCCCAATGGATAAGGAAAAAAAGAAAATTATAGCCAGAATGTAGAAGTGGGACACACTAGATGGATGGGGGTTGGGAAGAAGCCAAAACAAACAAAAAAAAAAGGACGGACAAACCCAATGGGCATCTTTCCAGTCTAGGCACAAAAATGTTTCAGTCTCAAAATATCTCTCTTGTAGAATTCCAGGGCTTCAGAGAAAAAAGTAAACTAAAACGAGGTAGCCAGACATATATATGTATATATATATATATAAAATTTATATATATATACTGTATAGAATATATTCTGCAGGAAAAAGATGGTACTTAAAAAAGAATTGTGATTTCAAATTTCTTTAAAAGAAAAAAGATAAAAAGAAATGAGCATGAATACCAGAGTACTGTAAAAGGAGAAGTGATGAGAAGAGACTGGGATTAGTTACAGAAGTGGAAGAAGGGTGAAAAGGCCGTTGTAGTTGGGTTTGCTTTTTATACACTTCAGAATAAAAACCAGATCACAGTATTCAAATGAAAGCTAAGTGAAGGCAGACATTTTCCTCAACTCCCCAGGGTTGAAAGGACTAGTCACTCCCCCCACCCCCCATTTCCAAATGCAACGCAGTGGGGAAACAGTAGCTGAATCAGTCCTCCATCCCGTGCAGAGAGGAGTGGGTGGGTGGGTAAGTAGCTGAGTCCATCTCTCCATCCTCAAGGTAAAGGAAAGGGGAGTAGGGTAGGGGTAGCGGTGGAATGATGGGGCCAGGTCAGTTTCCATCCCCAGCTGCAATGAGAATGGGCAGTGGGGAGCGGTGCCAGAGAAGGGAGAAGAAAATGAGCCAAAGGCTGTGTCACTGCCCCCTCTCAGCCACTGCAATGATGTATGTGTAAGTGTACATGTGGAGTGAGTGTGTGGGGAACGGTGGTGGTGAAGGGAAGATGAACAGGGCAGGACAAGAGGAGCTGGTGCTTCCGCCCTCACCTGACCTTCTCACTGTCCGTCATCTGCCAGAGTCCCAGGTTGAGTACCTTGAGGCAGGGCAGCTGCGTGATGCGCTCCAGGCCGCGCTTGGTGATTCGGGTACAGCCGTACAGGTCGATACCAGTGAGCTGGCTCAGGTGCTCAGCAATCAGCTCCAGGCCCTTGTCCGTGATGCGCACACACTGTCCGATGTTGAGCGTGCGCAACCCGTGCATCTGCCGCACCATGCGGTTGATGCCATCATCGCTGATGTGGCAGGAGCAAAGGGAAAGGGACTTGAGGCCGTCCAGCCCCTGAGCTATGTAGGCCAGACTCTGGTCCCCCACCTTGTCACAGAAGGACACATCCAGCCCCGAAAGGCGCAGGCTGCCCATGGCCAGATGCATGATGCCCGTATCACTGATGTTGTCGCAGGAACGCAGGTTAAGGCTGCGTAGACTGCCCATGTGCGACAGGTGCAGAAGGCCGGCGTCCGAGATGCCCCCGCAAAAGCTGAGGTTGAGGAGCCTCAGACCCGTAAGCCCTCGGGAGATGTGCTTTAGAGAAAGATCAGTGAGCTTCTGGCAGTCCTGCAATGTGAGCTGCTCCAGGCCCAAGCAGCCCTCGGCCGCGCTGCGCGTCATGCCGGCCAGGTGCCCGATGCCCACGTCCGAGAGGTGGCGGCAGCTGCGGAGGTTAAGGCTCTTTAGGCGCTGCAGGCCCCACGCGATGAGCAGAAGACCGGTATTGGTGATGTTGCTACAACCCCCCAGCTCCAGCACCTCCAGGCCCTTGAGGTACTGGGCTATGCGGCCCAGGCTGCTATCGGTGATCTGCTTGCAGAGGCTCAGGTTGAGAGCGCGCAGGGAGCCGATCTCCTGCACAAACGCGTGGCCCAGCCCGTTGTCGGTGAGGTTGTAACAGCCGCTTAGGTTGAGGCTCTCGATGTTGGCCATGCCCTGGATCACGTAGCTGAGGCTGCGGCGGAGGCTCAGGATCTGCACCCGGCGGATGCCCCGGGCCTGCAGGCTGGGGAACAGCGACGGGTTGGCCCGGCGCAGGTGCAGCTTGGCCTCCACCCCCCGCCACACCGACTTGTGGTAGGCGGCGTCCCGCCAGGCCGTGCACACCTGCGCCGCGCGTCCCTTGTCCCGGACGTCCAGGTAGCCGAAGATCATGGCCAGCAGCTCGGGGAACAAGCAAGAAATGTGGGTCTCCATCTTCCTCCTCCCCCCTCCGCGGTGCTGGGGGGAGGAGGCGCGGGCCCCGCGGCTCCTGCCCCGGGGAGGCGACGAGAGCCGTTCTCCCTGGCCGCCACCGCCGCCTCGGGCCCAACGGACGGCCCCTCCCCGCCTTCCGGCTCCGGCCGCCGCCGCCGCTCCTCCTCCTGGTCCGTCCGTCCGTCCTTCCTTCCTTCCTGCCGGCTTCGCCTCCCTTCCCTTCCCTCCCCCCGCCCCGGGCTCCGCTTCGTCCTCACATGCCGGGCGGGGAAGGCGCCCTCTCACTCCCAAAGCCCAACCCGGCCCGCCGCCGCCGCCGCCTTCGGTCTAACCACGCAGCATTCGGGCCCCGCCGCTCCGCCCGCTCCGCCGTCTCCGCTCCCACGCCCCCTGCTGCATCCTCCGCCCCCTGCCGCTGCCGCCTTCGCTGCCGCTGCAGCTCCGCTGGCCGGCGAGGAGGGCCTCGGGGGCTGGGGACACCGGGCTCCGGACGCCGAGGAGGCTTCCTGCTGCCTTTGTCTCTCGCCCGCTTTTCAAACCTCCCAGCCCCGGGCCGCCCGCACTCCGCTGCCGAGGCGGGGGGACCAGGAGGCCAATCCGGGCCACCGGGCGGACGTTCCTTTTCCCCCCGCCGGCTGCGGACAGTTGGGAGCTGCCAGCCCCGGCACCGAGGACGCCGCGGCCGCCGCGGCCAGAGCGCGGCTCGGCGCAGACCCCAGGGCAAGCAGGCGGGCCGTGCGTTTGGTAGAGTCCAGGACGTACCCGTCTGCTCCACTGTTCCTTCGCGCGTCCCCTCCTCCCTTTCTTGCTTCCCCCCCGCGCGCGCCGGCGCAATGGTACAAGCCTGCGCTGCCGGAACTGTGAGCCGTTACCCTGGAAACCGAGTTCTTCCTATTCTAGTCGCCCCTGATTTTTAACCCTCTAGGCGCCATTTGAGAGCAGCTGTCAGCAAAGCTCTTCCCCACCCTCCTCCTTTTCACCCCGTAACCCGTTATTGAGCCCTTCCCTCTCTGGGCCACGCCCCAGCCTTGTTACTTCCCTTCTTTGCTTCTGCTATCTGCAGAGCTTTTTCCCTCAGTTTACCCTTACAACTCCTTACCCTTACTTTACACTCTTTTCCATTTATTATCCTTGCAAGACTCTCCTCCCAATAATAGTATTCAATAATCACAATCTCATCTCTCCTTCCTTTTTTACTGTCCCTAATGTCCCTTAACACGTCTCTGCTATCACACTCCCAGCTCCCCATGGGGCTGTTTCCTACTATTCTTTTCTACCCGGTCTTGTGCCTTAAATTGCGAAAATACTCAACTTTATTTATCTTTACCTTAGTTTAACACTGACCATCTCCAATCCTCATTCTTGAATTTTCTAGAATTGTCCAGCACTGCTTCCTTCTAGCAGCTTCACTTTGCTTCCAGACACAGCTGTGTGTTTTCCTGGGTACTTTTACATCAAAACTTCCTTCTACTTCTTGCCTTGTCTTCAGCTCCTGAACTGTTGAGTCCCCTCAGCCTGCTGTGCTCTTAGAAGGGAGGAGCTTCCCCTAAACCTTGTAATTTTTTTTCCTTTAACCTCTTAGAATAAATTGTATGCCCCAATTGTACTGATAGTCAATATATTTGTATGTGCAAATACAAATTTACTTTTTAAAAAAAAAAAAAATAGAATGACTATTGTACTTGATTTAAGGTGGCCCAGCAGATGTCTGTTGGTTCATAAACTGTTTTATGGAACCAGGGCAATATCTCTTCTAGAACGTGGCTTAAATGACCTAGAATGTGGGTCTTAAATGTCCACATGGAGAGTAGGACTTCAGAGTTTCATTTTTACTACACTCCAAGAATTTTTAGATCAGAAGAAATGAAACTCCATATTATTAATTAATTTATGGGCCCACACAACTAGACACAAGACAACCTGGCTGATTTATCTATCAGAAAAGGAAAATGGTTTCATTGATTCTTTGAGGACTTAATCAAGCCTTTGACAGGATCTGTTTTCAGTACATGAGACTGTTAACTTTTGGTCACTTCTCTTTTGCCCGAGACCAACACCACACTAAGTACCCACAGATTCACTAGTAGGCATAATACATTTTACACCAGGCCCACCTCTCCTACTCTTAAATCAGGAAATGCATAAGTAAAAATTCTTACAAGTTTGTTATCTCACCCACATTTCACATGGTGTGAGGCCCATAGATTTTTATAACCTTCCTGAATGACTAACTGTATTGTTAGTCATCCAGATGTCTCCAGATGTGCTGTGGCAATAAGTGTCACAATTCTAAGGTGTATCTGGGCTGATGCTCTATCACTTATGTCTAAAATTTTACCTTAAACTCCACATGAAAGTCATTTTTATTTATTTATTTATTTTTTGTTCTTGGATGTAGATGTGTTTGTGTTGTTGTTGAGGTCTTTATCCAAAGCACCTATAGTGTACCTTAATCCTATTTAACACAAAACAGATATCAGACCATACAAATGGGGTGGATTTTTAGACAGAGAACCTGACCTAAAGAGAAGGGACTTGGTGGTTTTTCTCCTCTAGAAAGGCTATTGTTCTCAAGTCTAAAGAGTCATTCAGAGGAGCCTCAGAGCACTCTCTCTAGAAGTTGGCCTTCTGTACCTAGTAGTTTCTAGAAACACTTTTTCTTGACTTGAACTCTAGAATTTAATTAATACAGAGCCTTTTGTTTAAAGCATTCAAAGATACATCACAAGAATTTCCAGGATATGCAATATGATTATTTTCACATTAGATAAGTAGGAAAATATAATATCAGGAGGCATCGCAGAAAATAAACATTAGCAGGAAAAAAGAAGTGTGGTGTCAAAAGAGCCCTATCCTGAGTCCAGAGACCTGGTGACTTTTTTTTTTTTTGTAATGGTATTGAGGAAATGACTCCCCTTTCTAGGTCTCAAGTTTCCTCATCTAAATCTATGGTGGTTTGACTCTGAGACCATGAGCCTAGAATTGGTTTTTTGTGTCCTTAACCCTATTCCTAATGCAGGACCAAAATTAAGACTATTTTCACGTGCAGTGGCTTCATGGGGGTTTCAGTTTAGGCTCAGATTTGGGGCACAAAAATGTATGGAAGGTATGTACAGACCAGAGACTCTGTCTGGAGAAGATGTATACCAGTGTAGCAGTCCCATGGATAGTGTTCATATTTTAAGGAGAGGTTGAGATTTTTGTATATGATTCAACAAGTTGTAACTAGAATAAAGCTATGAACGTCTGTGTTTAGAAGCCAAAATGATAGCCTTGTGTAGAGAGTCTCTCCAAAGCTTAACCAAGAATTATAAAGAAACTAGATTTTCAGATGGGGTGTGTTTCCACCTGGGTGGGGCCTGGGAAAACTGAACAGCCCAACCCAAAGTTCAGGTTTAGTTAAGGATGTATATTTCCTCATTCAGAAAGAGAAGATCTGCCAGGAAAGATCAGAAGAGATGTGCAGCTCTCAACTCCTCATTCAAGGGAGAGGAGAGGGGAGGACGTACATAGATGCATCTCCAAAAATAGTGGTCCAGAGTCTAGCTTGTGGGTGTTGGATCAAAGATATTAAAATATTTTGTGGGTGTTTTCCTTTAACTCTAATGCATCCAGCACGATGCTTGCTATGTAATCGCATTGAAATCCGGTTGATTCCAATTCCAACTCATGGCCGAAGAGTAGAACTACAGAGTTCTACAGAGTAGCAGTGCTCCACAGGGTTTTCTTGGCTATAATCTTTACAGAAGCCAATTGCCAGGCCTTTTTTTTTTTTGTTACCACTGGGTGGGCTCTAACTCACTACCTTTAGGTTAGTATTAGAGTGCAAACCGTTTGCTCCACTCAGGGACTATGTAATAGGCACTCCATAATTGAACTGAAATGAATGAGATTAATAATAATATCTTTATGAAACACTTAATACCTATCAAAAATTCTTCAAGAGCTCTGGGCAACCAATAGCAATAGATAAATGAGGTTTATAAAATGATGCTTTTCCAACCACTTTAATGTCAAGAGTTTTGAAAGCAACATTCTCTCTACTCCTAAGTATTTCTAAGAAGGAAAGTAACTTGATAGACCCCTTAGTTAGAGAATATTAAAGATAAGAGAGGGTGAGGACTTGATTCACCAACTGCAAATAAAAGATTTAAGCAGAACAAACATTTTAAAATAAAGATGTGAATAAAAGGGAAAAATAGATGAAAATTGTTCTCACATCACTAAATTGCCAGGAACACCTCAAAACATTTTTTTCTTTCTCCCAAACTATTAGTTTGCTGTATCCAGTAAACACAGACCTAGCAACATCTTTATTATCCACCACCATAAAAATAAAAGCTTGAGATCTGGCTTGAGCCCTTTCATTAGGATGACTGTGCACTTTATTGTCCAAACTGGAAACCTCATGAGAGTGAAAACCAAAAAAACCAAACCAGTTGTCATCGAGTCCATCCTGAGTCATGGCAACCCCATGTGTTTTAGAGTAGAACTGCACTCCATAAGGATTACAATGGCTGTGACCTTTTGGAAGTAGATTGCCAGGGCTTTCTTCTGAGGTGTCTTTGGGTGGATCGAACCGCCAACCTTTTCGGTCAGTAGCCTAGTAAAGGGGGTCTATTAATAATCACGCCCAGCTGACAGAGCAAATGGATGAATGATCACTCATTCCTTGAAATGGAGTTGCTGTTTGTAATCTGTAATTTGCAACCTTTGCGTGTTGACGCTAATGTGTTTTCATAATTTCAGGCACTCAGCTAAAGGATTATAAATACAGTAATAGAATAATCCCAAGTATCAGTTATTATTTGTTAATTTTAACAAATACCTTAGGTAGATATGACAGCTGATTAAAAAAAAAAAAAAAAGCTTTGTTGTAAATGTAGCATTACCAGGGCTCTGAACACTTAGAAAGGTAGGTTTTCAATTCATTGAATTGTTCAGGAAGTATTAAGACAAATTATATGCACTGCTCTGTGATCTGAGGGAAACAAAGTATTAAAGATGATGTCTCTGCCTTTAAGGATTTAGGACCATACCTGCTAACAGCAATAGTGATAGCAACAAGATGTTTTCAGTTTAGAGCATCTAAACAGTGATTGATGGGAGGAAGATCTTTGCATATGATAGAAAT